GCCAGACAATCGCCGCCGCAGAAACGATACAGGAGTTATGGAAATTACGTCGCACCCGGAAAACCAGATAACTTTCCACATCAGAATGGACACAATGCGTACAACAACAAAACCAAGACGGTAACAAATGTAACGGCGTAAAAGTAAAAGTTATATTAATCACAATCAGCGAGTATTTTATATAAATATACGTTGAAATATTGAACAATGTCGCAAAAAACACGGAAGGCGATTAATCAAATCAATTGAATGAAAGAGCTTTACGCCTTACAGATGTTTTTTTCAACTTTTTTTACACTTGAATAAGCACTTGATCGTTTGCGTTTGACTGAAGAGCCAACACTCGTGCCTTTCATTAATTAATTACAACCGCATGTGTCTGCAATTGTTTTTACTCTAAATGAAAGAAGTGATAACCGAGGAATGGAAATCGTCGAGATTTGCGCGCACCGCGAGTGTGAGAATGCCAATAATACGAGCATCGTCTTTTTTTCCTTCTTCTGCAAACTCTACAAATTGTCTTTATATGTTGTCGTTTCTTTCCATTCATACGCTTTGAATATTCAACACAGCCGTCGACTTGGTGTGTGAATTTGAAAAGGAAACTGTCACTTATGTAAATGACTCGCAAGACGGAGGCTTCCGATCTGGCGCGCGCCAGTTTTAATTCTAATAGGTAAACAAAGGATAAGATATCGCGGATATTGCAGCTTGCGTGTTATTTTTCTACTTGAATGGTTTCGATTACAAATTGATTTCTCATTTGCATTCATGCGTAGAAATAAAACGGAAGCGGAGGAAACGCGTTTTCAAATCTCAACCTAGATTGATCGTTAGTCAAATGTTGGAAGAAAAGAAATTGCAATTAGTTGTGCGCTGGTATGTACGACTAATAAATAATAACACAGTACAGTTAATGAATCATGAATGAAAGTTTTCCGCTGCAAAGTGAACAAAATCTCATACATCCATTACACCGTGTGTGTGTTTTTTGAAGTTGCTCTATGCTATACTTGAACTTGTACAAAAAAAAGTCAGGCGAAATACGATCCAACCCGAATACGCTTTTGACGTAGTATACAAATTAGAATCGATTCAATTTTAATTGGTAAGGATTCATTCAAATTCATTCCGAGTTTCCCATGGTTTCTTCTCAAAGGCTGGCAATGCCTCCGCTGCATGCTTTGAATTTGTTGCGGAAGGTTCCTCCAGTTTCTCATTTCGTTCTCATTGAACTTTATTCATCTATTCATTGCCTATTCAATTCTATTTGCTCTTCATTTTTCGGTTTGGCTTCAGCTACGACGCACATCAAAAGTAAAATTAAGTGATGCTTGAAAAGGCCATAAACAGAGGTTATTTGGTCTTCGGGTCGTTGCTTTTGTCGTAAAATTTTTAATGAAGAAAACGTAATAAACCTCAAAATGTGCCGATTTCTTTCTGCACGTTTATTGCAACAAGCGCAGAAACTCGGAAAACGTTACGAATCGAATGCGTCGTCGTGGAAACGCGTCCCGATGATTGTTGTCGATTGGTTGCGCTCTATTGTAAACAGAAAGATTCAACTTTCCAATTGAATGAAGAGAGCGCGCCAGAACTGTTCGCAAACAAATGGCGCGAACGATAAAATGCTTGCCACCTTTGTTCGATTATTGTAATTAGCCGAATAACATTGATTACGCGTTGCTAATAATTAGATAATTGGCGAGTTGGGTTTGCGTTCATTGTGCCCGTCATGTACAGTTTCTAGAGGCAGACTTTCGGACCCTCTACATTTGCAATTGCCAATCTGGCAATAGCATAAAAATGTATTTATGTTAATTAATCCTCGTGATGTGCGTGCGCTGTTATTTTGTAATTTGATTCTTGTTGTTTTTAATATTCGTACTTATTTGGAAGCATTTCAATGATAATTTTCATTTGCAATTAGAAATTGTTGGCAAGACAAGATTTAATCGGATATTGTGAGAGTGTTATTAAAGTTTGAAATTATTATTGGCGGATAATTATAGTATAATTAGCTTTCAAACTATGCACTTTATTATGATTTGATTATAAATGAGTGAATGCTAATGTTGGACTAGTTTTATTATTAGTATTAATAATTATACATTAGAAGCAGGCGAAACCTGACACCAGAAGTGACAGAGTCGTCACGATATACCTATATTTTTGTGTTAATAATAAAACAGTTACTTGTTCAGTTTAGCGCTAGAAATTGCGAATGATTGAAGAAAAATCCAATTCTCGCGACTGTAGGCTTCATGAATGTCAATTGCTACTATCTTTATTCAAAATTGGATTAGTAATATTAGATTTATAGGTATCATAATTTTAAAAATATGTATTTTTAAGGTTATTATAACTATATAATTGTTTAACAAATACGAAGTTACATGTTACCAGATTTTCTAATGTTTTCACAAAACAAATCCATCTACGCCACTCAAACAAAAACATTGCCTCACCGAGATTGGTTATCTTGTTGCATCTTAACTTTTATCACCGTACTGCAACTTGAATAAATGCGCGCTAGTACACTTTCATGACAATAAATGTTCTGCAAGTGTGCGCACAGAGTACATCAACCACACATCTTGCAATCATTTGTTTGTATCATTGTGGTGTGACTTTCCGAGGCGGTAAACGACACTTACTTCCTATGCATACTAGGCTGCGTCACAGATTCGCCATCGCATGTAAGCTAATGTCGATTATTATGAATGCAAGGCGCAAGAAATTAACTCGCCTGCCGACGTCCGCTCGTGCGCGCATTTCTTCCAACTCGATTGACTTGTTTATGCGCGGCGCCGCATGCAGAGATACAGAACGCGTTGAGATATTATATAGTGGCCGGTGTCGTATAGTTAATTATTCGGTCGTTCATTTCTTTTTGCTGCTTCCTCAGTCGTTAATAAAGCAAACCAGGTCTGATGAAAATTGACCTACTAAAAGGAGGATGACAGATCCGCAGAGGCGTTGGTGATTTTTTTTGCGCTGTAGATTTGTTACACTCTGCTTAAATTATGGCGCCAATCGGCGTGAATAGTTTCACAAAGTACAATTTTTAATTTATTATGCATCAGTTACTTCGATATCTAGTCGTGCCAACTATGGTAGTCGAAATGGTTTACATTTACAGGCAGCGCTCAAATGGAGAGTTGGAAAATGTGCGCCGTTTTGGTTTCATGACTGGAAGCAATTCGAAACTTTTTTATGTGTTTCTCTTCATTTAATTTGTTCCGAAATGCAAATTGAACGCGATTTAGCGCTCAACTTTTATTAGATTACTGACGCTAGTACCCTTTCATGATAATAATCGCAGCAAACTTACATACAGAACCAGCAAAATAAAGCCGTAAGGAAATACAAAGCGCGAAGGCACGTAGTCATGTTATAATTTCACACTGAATTTGTAATAGTAAAATGAAGAGCGTAAACACAACATACTCTTTACTTTCACCGTTATGCTAAAAATACGTAATAAACATTTAGACATACGAAGATATTAAATGCACAAAGTGCAACAAAGTGCATTATTACGTTATATTTTCATCAACAATTCTGCATAATTTCTATGCTGCTACAAACACGCCGAACGCTAGTTTGTTGTTCTTGCCCGGTTTATTACCACTTGCTTTTTACTTGTAACTCTGTTGGAAAGTTGCAAAGAACTTGCACTGCATGAAATTTCGCTATTAATTATATAGTTTAATGTGTTATTAGTTGATTGCATACGCAAATAAACTTTGAAATACGATGTTAACTAATGTTAGTTGGTAATGAGTGCGTTGCGCGAGCACGGTGGGTAATAAATACCAAGCACGCATTCAATAAAACCGATATTAGAATGCGAGAAGTTGAAAAAGATTTCGCACGCATCGACGTAACTAAACTTTCCGACGTCGGTTTAAATTCTTTGGCGTTTAATATAATCGGAAACACACACTGACTGATTCCACTTGCTTGAAAGATGGCTTGAAATGCGTACGTGCTAAATATCTATTGTGTAATTTTCGGATTTTAAGTTTGGTATAATCGTAGATATTAACTCGAACTTTTGCGCGAGCAGTTTATTTAAGATACAAGGCGAAATGAGAATAAATTAGAAATTAAACAAATTTATTTGTGAGTACTTGCAGATTAGAATTATTTAAATATCATGTAATCATTATTTGCATCATTCGGAATATTCCAATATCAACGCCCAAAACTTTTTTGTTCGTAAAATTTTAATTTGGTTTCAAAAGAAAAAGTCGAAAGTCTGAGTTGTATTTTTTGTACCATTTATTTTGTTTTTATTTTAATCCAAAGTACAGTTTTAATTTATGTATTAAAATAAAAACTTTGCTTAATGTTTAAATTAGCATTCTCACTGGTTTTAATTTCATACCAATTTTAGGTATGGCACGCTAATAGTTAATGGCTGGCCAATTTTAATTTCATTTTTAATCGTGATTTAAATAACGCACAGCGATTCTATGCCACCGGCCGGTTTCTTGGAAGCGTCTGCGCGCGTCCATTTGCTTCCGTTATTATTTTCCGTTACAGTTTGCTTCCTTCTGTGATTATGGGCCGTTCGCTGCGTTCATTAATTCAAATCATTTGCGGCGCAGTTATTACAATTACGTTTATTGTGCGCCAAGTGGTGTGGCGCTCGCCGGCTAGCAGCCATATTCGTTACTTCTTCGTTCTTGCGGACTGTTACCGCACAGTCCAACAGATTTAGCAGGGATGGGCAACCTGCGAACCACTCGTTAGTTGATTATTAAATTCAGGCAACCTTTTATAAATGATGCAATACTCCAGCGTGAAGAACACTGGAAAGCAGCAGTAGCTTTTGCTTTTGCTAGGTTTAAACCGTTTCAATATGCGATATTAGCATTTATAGCGCGCACATTTACATTTTGACGTTAATTGTGAATAAATAGGAAGATGATTAATTGCGCGTTAACATATTATTAACAAATTTGCTAATTTTTTCTTATCTTTATTTGCAGCCCGTGCCAAGAACCGCAGATTTGGACAATTCTGACGGAAGTACTTCAGCACGACCGAAATTTGTTGCCGTCACCGCATTAGAGGACGTTCAAGCTGTAAGATGTGCAGAATTTCATCCGAGCGGACAGCTGTATGCCGTTGGATCAAATTCGAAAACGTTGAGGATATGCTCCTATCCAAAACTGAACGACTTAAGGTAAACTATAAATAAATTACCACACTTCACATTTTCTATTCAAAATCTCAATTTTAGGGAAGACCACCAGACATATCAACCAACAGTTCTCTTTAAACGCACCAAACATCACAAAGGCTCGATTTACTGCCTAGCATGGTCACCGGTTGGTGATCTGATGGCTACTGGATCCAATGACAAAACCGTTAAACTCATGCGTTTTAACGCGGACACCTCCAACCTTGAAGGCGAAGAGGTCGAACTGTCTATGCATGATGGCACCATTCGCGACTTGTGCTTCCTGGAGGACACCTCGAACAAATCGAGTCTGCTTATCAGCGGCGGAGCGGGTGATTGCAAGATTTACGTGACAGATTGCGCGACCGGTACGCCATTCCAAGCGTTGAGCGGACACACTGGGCATGTGCTGTCGTTGAACACCTGGGGCGGCGCAATGTTCGTAAGCGGGTCTCATGATAAAACTGTACGCTTTTGGGATCTTCGGACGCGGGGTTGCGTCAATTTGGTCACGCCGGTCACTGTACCTGGTACAAGACAGGGATCGCCTGTGGCCGCGATTTGCGTCGATCCATCTGGGCGTTTGCTTGTATCGGGACATGAGGATAGTTCTTGCGTATTGTATGACATCCGAGGCGGAAGAAACATTCAATGCTTCAAACCGCACTCAGCTGATGTAAGATCCATTAGATTTTCACCTTCGGCGTATTATTTGCTGAGTGGTGGATATGACAACAAATTGGTACTCACAGATTTGCAAGGTAATTTGAATTTTTGTTTAATTTAAATTCATACAATTAATTTATAATTATAATTCTTATAGGTGATCTCACATTACCGTTGCCTAGTGTGGTTGTTGCGCAACATCAGGACAAAGTCATCTCCGGACGTTGGCATCCATCGGAATTCTCCTTCTTGTCTACGTCGGCAGACAAGACGGCCACCTTGTGGGCCCTACCACCCATCTAACACTCGTATTCTTCTTGCTTGCTGAGTTGATTTAGTGGCTAAAGCTTATGATTATGCTACGAATTGAAAATTTTCTATACTGAAGATAAGAATTATAGCATATAACATTTGTGTTATAACTTGTAAAATGATTAATGTATAAGTCTGAACTAATTGTTTCTTACATATATAACAAAGGTTATCAGATGCAAACAAACCATTGTATTTGTTAGTGCGATCTTTAATCGCATACACTCGTTAAAATACGTTCTTTGATTATTTATTACTTTTATAATTTCTTACGATGACTTCGTGTCTTGTTTTGAATGTTTTTTATTCATTTTTATTGACTTAACGAATAACATGTATATATTTTAACTTTTTTAAATGGAAATTTTTGTTTTAATAGTCAATGCGACTTGCAAAATGTTCATGTCTGTTGAGCTATGATATTTTTGTATTAAGAATTAGAGAAATTCTATACGTAGTAGTTACGTATTGTATGAACAAATTATGAGAGTAGTGCTATTTCCATGATTCTTTATTAAAATTGGAACAATGCGAGGAGCTAAGCGCAAATTTGCAATCAAATTAAAGCAGATGAACAAGAAACAAAATTATTTATAACTAATAATAAATTGTTAATATTGCTACAGCTGCACAAGTTATCAAAATAAGCTTAGCAGATTAATATAATTAAAGAAAAACCTATGTAACTGTTAATAATGCTTTATTAATTATACTTTAAAAAATATTGTTTTTTGCATTACTTTATTATTATGAAACCTTTCCTAATGCAATAGAGACGTTTCAAAGCAAAAGCCGGCAACATTGGCGATCACCTGTATAATGTATAATCTTTTGGAGTTGCCGGATGTTTTCGATTCATTTTAGGCGAGCGCAACTGTAGCGCGCTGTGCACCGCCGCTGAAGTCATGTGCCGGTCGTGTGCCGGTCATGTGTGCACTGAAAGCGTTTTTAGTCTATTTACACTTGGTTTGATTAAAAAATTTACAATTGTTTCGCTGGTGAGGGCATCGTCAGCACTTCAAAGACATTGCTCAAAAAAATTTATCAGGCTTAAGTCGGGTTAAATTTTGAGAAGAGGGAATTTATTTAGATCTAACACTTCATTTATGACCTATACCGCGGGGCTCCCTAATGACTTGTGTATTTCCACTACTTCTATTGCATTCATGAGCGCATCCATTGCACATAAGTGTTATAAAGGACGATACTATGTCCTCTGCACTAGTTTTCGGCGTTGCTTATGCACGTCTCAGCGTTAACCGGTGCGCGTTGCTGAGGCACTTGTAAATTACATGTTGTAATGTTTGTTGGGATTGCAGTTCGGCGTATTACGATTCATTTCGGCGTATTACGATTCATTTCGGCATCTTCATTTATAGATAACACTCGTCTTTACTGATTTGATTACTGAATTGTGAAAGTGCCTTTTGAAAGTGCCTTAAAATGCCCTTCATAAATCAGCATTTTTAGGAAAATTTGAAAAGATGGGGTGGAAAATACCCTGTATCTCCGAAACTAATTGACTTTCTTGGAGTTTCTCTACGCCAGAATAAAGTCAGGGAGTCTGTCTACACGATGCGTACCTTTTCAACCTTCCAGCTCTTTCGGAAGTGTCCTATAATGCCCTTCAAAAATGAGCAATTTTAGAAAAATTTGACTACATAGTGTGGAAAACACCCTATATCTCGTAAACAAATTGACTATCTTCCAGTTTCTCTACGCCAAAGGAGAGTCAGGGAGTTTGTATACACGATGCATACTCTTTATACCTTCCAGCCCTTTCAGAAGTGCCCTAAAATGCTCTTCAAAAATGAGCAATTTTAGGAAAAATTTGAAAACATAGTTTGGAAAACACCTTGTATCACGTGAACTAGTTGAATTTTTTAAAGTTTCTCAACGTCATGTTAAAGATCGAGAGACCCTTTTCACTATGCATATTTTTTAACCCTGTAAACCCTTTGAAAGTGTAAACTCCCATTCGAATATCGCTATTTTTGTCCAATAAATTTCATTTTTTGGTCGAATAACAGGGTCGAACTTTCTTTAATACATTTTTTTTCGGTTGAAGAACAGGGTCGAACTTTTTTTCATAACATTTTTTTAGTCGAATTTGTTTGTTAACATTTTTTCGGTCGAAATTTTTGTTATTATTTTTTCGATCGAATTTTCTTGTTAAATTTTTTCGGTCGAAAAACAGGGTCGAACTTTTTTACTTAAAATTTGTTCGGTCGAATTTTTTTGTTAAAATTTTTTCGGTCGAATTTTCTTGATAAAATTTTTTCGGTCGAATTTTTTGTTAACATATATTTCGGTCAAAGAACAGGATCGAATTTTTTGGCGATTTTGTCAAAAACCAGAAGGTCTACGAAAAACGAATGCATTTTTCCCTAAAATTATAATTAGGGTCTAAACGGGAAATGTTAGCAAAAAAAGTTTCAAAAATAAACGATGTAGAATTAAATTATCTATCAGAATCTGATTAAGAATTTAATAAAAATTAATAGTTCCTTGCTTAGTACGCGTACAATTCTTCTCATGTTCTGCACTACCACACTGATAGTATCAGTGTTTACAAACATACTAGTTTCTTTATCTCCTGCAGTTTTGTGCGGCCGCCACGAGGTTGGCGTGAGTACCACGTTAGTCTCATTTTTGTCGTCGGGTGATCTGGACGCACATTTTCTTTACAATATTTTGAGTTCCTTAATTTTATGTCGCGTAATAACGTACCGTCTCTAAATACTCCTTCGATTGTGCGAGTGAAGTGCGGCGTTCGTTAAGCGCGGATTGTACACATGCAGAGAGGAAAAGCGTGAGTGATGCTCCGTCGGCCGTCGGATACTCTTTTTGTATTATACGCGTATTGCATATTAATTTCGTATTTTCTTTGGATATACCAAACGCGCAAACATTTATTTTGGATCAAGGTACTATGTTCTCGCATTTCTTCAGCCATATGAGAAACAAATTTACTTAACTTGTTTTTACTTCAACCACGTGGTCTTTAACCACAGATATAATTTTTGTCTCTGTTTCAATACCTACCGTTGATTTGCAATAAAATTAAAAAGATCGTGTGGTCGTGTGGCGTCGGTTGCGTTCTTAATTCTTTGGCGGCTTTTTGCGGCAAACCCCACTACCCACCACTATTAGATATATGTAAGTTTTAATTCCGAAAATAAAAAAATCATTTGCCTTTTTATGATGAAATCTTCTTTTCAGCTAGTGCAGCTTTTGAAATAATAGTGATTATTAAATTCTGTTTTTGGATTTTGAAAGGTAATTTAATTCTTAATTGATTATTTAAGTTATTATATTTCTATCATTAACGGTTTAGGCCCTATTTGCAATTTTATTTAAAAAAAAATGATTTTTACATGCCAAAATGGCTTTAATCTACCATTGTGTGACATTTCTTCGATTTAGAATTTAATATACTCTCAAAAACCCAAAACAGAATTCAAAAATTCAAATTATTACAGAATTTGTATTTGTTAAAATAAAATATTTCGTTATAGAAATGGCAAAAGATTTCTCTTTTTTATGTCGAATGCAGTTTTCACTAAAATTTGCAAACGAGTAATCTCATGAAAGTTACTAAAATAATCGATGTAGAATTAAAAGAACTGTATTTATTATCCTAACATTGAACGTTTGGGGCCTATTTGCAATTTTAATTTCAAAAAAGGTGTTTACACGCCAATGGGGCTTTAAGCTATAATTTTGTTATTGGGGTCCAATTCATAATTTATTCGCAATTAAAAGTTCCATGCATTGTACGAGTTCAATTCTTTTCATGTTCTGCATTACCACACTGGATGTATCTATGTTTACAAACAAACAAGTTTTCTTATCTCGTGCAATTTTTGTGCGGTCGCCACGCGGTTCGCCACGCGGTTGGCTTGCCTACCACGTCAGTCTTATATTTGTCGTCGGGTGATTTGCACGCACATTTACTTCACAATAATTTGAGTTCCATAATATCTTCGCGTCCTTACGTAATATTTCTAAATGCTTCTTTCATTGTGCGCTAGTGATGTGCGGCGTTCGTTAAATGCGAATTGTTTATACGCCGAGGTAAAACGTGAGTGATGTTCCGTCGGCCGTCGGATACTCTTTTTACATAATTAAGGTCCTTACAATTTATTGGATAGGCCAAAAGCGCAAAAATTAATTTTGCATTACGGTATGTTTTCGCATTTCCTAAGCCATTTGAAAATCAAATCCATACTTGCTTGTTTTTACTTCAACTGCGTGGTCTTTAAGCCTACAAATACTTTTCGTCTCTGTTTCAATACCGTTGATTTGCATTTCGTATTTGATACCTTGTTTTATTTTTGTTTAATGTACAAATTAAAAAGATTAAGATAGTCGCGTGCCGTCGGTTGCGTTCTTGATCCGCTAGCAGCTTTCCGGGCTGGTCGCTGGTTTTTTACATGATTTAAAATAAATTTTGCTTTGTGCTTTATTTTTGTATTATCCAACCCAGCACTTTTCCTTCATATCCAAAGTAAATACAATTTTTATGTTTTCTTACTTTTCACTTTTCTTTGATTTCCGGTGTAAACATTTTGATTTTTTTAAATTCTTGATGGTTTTCTTCTTATATTATCTTGTCGCCTTGTTAATTGCTTCCATCCGTTTTCCTACTTAAATCTTAATTTTTCTTTGTGTATCACCCAGTAGATATATTTTTCGTATTATTTAATTGACCATATTTATTAGTGTTTGGTCGTTTTACTTTTAAAACTCAGAGTTTTCTTTTTGTAACACCCTGTATATTAATTTCCCGTGGTGTCAAAATGGGAAAGATGTATGTTATTCCATTTAAACTTAGGATTTTCTTTTAAAATATTGTAGTTTTCTTTTTGTATCATCCTGTACTAAGTTTTCCCCGTAGTGGATTTTTCAAAAAGGGAAAGATATATGTTATCCTACTTAAACTTAGGGTTTTCTTTTCAAATATTGTTGTCATCTATTTGTATCACTCTGTATTATTATTTCCCGAAGTGGGTTTTTTGTAACACCCTGTATACTAATTTCCCGTGGTGAAGTTGTTGAAAGGGCAAAGATGTCATCCCACTTCAACTTAGAATTTTTCTTTAAAATTTTGTCACTTTCTTTTTACATCACCCTGTTTACTAATTTCCTTTGATTTTATAATATTTTGACTTTGCATTTTCTATTTAAATGTTATTATTTTGTTTTTGGAACACCCTGTATAATAGTTTTCCGTAATTGCCTCGAAAATTATGCAAAATTTGTTAGTATTAGGGCTTCACACGAGACGAGACTGGGCGAGACTATCAAAGGTATCGTCTCGGTCTCGGTATCGTCTCGGAAAAGCGATCGTGTGAAGCCTTAAGTAGAACTCAGTTTTAGATCTTTGCAGTTCAAAAGTTTAGTAATTTAATTGCTAATTGCTATTATTGTAAAGTAAGTCCAAAAATTCATACATAGTTTAAAATATTAATTTTTGATTGCATCACTTTTAATTGAAAATATATTTTTTAATGTTTCAAATTTTTAAACGTTAATGTATACTAGGGTACAATAATCGTGTTGATTTGTGTTGAAAGTAAGCAGCGCACGTCTACAATTCCTAACTTACCCAGATGTATACAATATCTTTGCTTCAAGAAGTACAGAAAAACACAAAAATATGTCTCCGGATGTGTAAACAAAGACAAAATTGTCATAAAACTTTCAAAAAGTCAAAAAGGACATGATATTCTGTTACTGACTTGTTCTTTTGAATATACAAAAGAAATATATCACAGATGGTCATATATTGGATTTCATATATTGGACCTTTTCTCATTTTTCTAATAACAACTTTATAAAAAAAATTTAACGAGACCAATAACGAGACCAAAAACAGGACTCGCATTGTGGTCTCAGTATCGCCGAGAAATTGTTGAAACACGTCTCGTCTCGGTATCGTCTCGCTTTTCCGAGACGTTCTCGGAAAAGTCTCGGTATCGTGTGAAGCCCTAGTTAGTATTATATGTTTTTCTTTGTTATTTTTTAACCTTGGTACTTGTCTGCATGTACATGTACATGTACATGTCTCTTACATGTACATGTCCCTTATAACTAGATTCAAAATGGCGGCACATATATTGTTTTGTATTATATTTTACAAGTTTTCATTGAATACATGATTCAATAAAGAAATGTTAAAAGTGATTGTGCCTCCTATGAGTTGAGTGTACTCCTTCTATCATTTCAGGTACAGGTCAGAACTTGTAAAAATATTTTTAAGTGTCGCCTCTCTTGAGACGACTTAGAACTTAGAAATACTTTTACAAGTCCTCATAAGGAATGACCTTATAAGGAATTCTCCCACTCCGGAGATGATCCCCTACCATTAATATTGTTGATATGCCTGAGTATCTTGGAGGTGAAGCGTAGAGACATCGTAGCTGTAGGATGGGCCGGGAGCAATAGACACATCGAAGCAGTGGTTTGTCTTATTGAACGACACGCCACCAAAAAATTCAAAAATTTGATCCACTCCTGTTCTCTTCCTTGTATCTCCTCTTCTCTACACTCTACTCTACCACAACTTCTTCTTTTTCTCCAATGTTCTTCTCTGTTTCTCTATTTACTTAATATCCTTATTGCCTTCACTTGTTGTATTGCAATTTCTTTTATATTTCAGTACATATATTACATATGCAACCCAAATTACACCTGTTATTTTTATATTTGAGAAAAATGCCTTATAACTGGAGATCGAACCATCGATCTGCGATATGGTAAACATGTGCTGCACACCTGACAGCCACGCGGCATTTTTATCAAATCTTATTGGTTTCTTCTATTTATGTTTTCATATCTTACAGTAAAATAAAACAACAGCATACATATACTACACTGTCCTATACCTACTATTCGATACAATGGTGTACTCTTAGAGTACAGGAGTACAGGAGTACAGGACTTAATATCAATCCTAAAAACGACTAAGTGAAAACTAGGGACACATTGTTTACTGTAAAATTTCGTTAAAAATATTATTTATTGACTGAAGCAATAACAAGGTAACTATAGGATTTTAAAATTTAAAGTTAAGTTAAGTTTTATTTGATGATACGCACTTCTATAGTATTCCACGCGAAGATTCCAAATGCAGTCACGTCTAACACATAAATTTAACTTGAGCTCCAGTAAGTCACAGTAAGTCCATAGTCACCGAAACATATCCGACGAACTCCACGCGCGCATCTCAAAGAATCACTCAAATCATTCGTTGTGCACGTCCCTGGGCTGTTACAACTCACAAATATATTGCAAGTTATCAAGTTATGAGGTGAAGTTTACAAAAAAAATTTGGTAAAAGGATTTTTAATTAACGTACTGTGGTGAAATAGCACTTTTGTGGCTTACCTTAGTATTAAACACAAATTTTGTATATGACAATGGTAAATAACTAGAACACTTAGAATCACATGAAATAATGGATGTCTTACGACATCGGCTTTCCATTGTATGAAACATGAAAATTATTTACAAAAATGATAAACGAATTGAATACTTACAATCTGATGAAAGGATCGTTGTCCTAGGACATATTTAGTTTACCCGCTAGACATCTAAAACAACCAAATATTAGCACATTGTAACACAAAAATTACATTTCTGCGGGTTTCCTTCATGCTAATCATACAAATTATATATGAAAATGATAAACAAATTCAATACTTACAATCTGCTGAAAGAATTGCTGTCCTAGGACTTTTCGTTCGCTCGCTGGACACCTAAAACAATTAGAAATTAGCACATCTAAGCACAAAAATTACATTTTTGTAGATATTCCGTGTGCTATCCACACAAATGAATTATGAAATTGATAAATCAATTCAATATTTACAATCTGATAAAAAAATCGCTGTCCTAGGATTTTTCGTTGGCTGGCTAGAATCCTAAAACAACCAAAAATTAGCACATTGAAGCACAAAAATGACGTTATTGCAAGATTCCCGTGTGCTAATCGCACAAATTACTCATGAAAATGATAAACAAATTTATTACAATCTAATGCAAGAACCGTTGTCCTAGGACCTTGCGTTCGTCCGCTGGACACATAATACCTCTTAAAATTAGCATATTGAAGCACAAAAATGACATTTTTGCAGGTTTTCCGTACATTAATACATACATCTATATATATAAAAGAAAGTCGTGTTGGTTAACTCCTTTATAACTAAAGAACGGCTAATCCAATTTAGCTAAAAATTGGTGGAGAGGTAGCTTAGGGCCAGGAGATGGTAATAGGATACTTTTTGAAGTGAAAACTTTTCTAAAAAGGCATTAAACGACACTAAAAAGAGACAAACATATTTGCGTATATGGATTATCTTGCGGGAGAATAAGAGAACGCAAATACAAAGTTTTCTGTTATCCCCGTCTCCCTTTGTGCGATGCTTCGTAGCATAGACGTGTGTATGTTGTAGGTGTGGGTTGAAATTGACCGGTTGATGTTTTTGTTTGGAGAAGGTTACTAGGATACTTTTTGAAGTGAAAACTCTTTTAGAGAACACTAAACGACACTAAAAGGAAACAAACATATTCGCTTATATGGTTTAGCCTACGGGAGACAAAGAGCGCACTAATAACGTCTCCTCATTGTGCGATTAGTAGCTTCCCCCTGAGTGTGTGTGTACGTGTTGGTTGAAGTTGCCCGATTGATGTGTTTGTTTGAATAGGACATAGTAAGTGTAGGATACTTTTTTTAATATTTTTTGAAGTGAAAACTTTTTTGGAAGATACTAAAAGAGTTTTCTCCGTCTCTTCTTTGTGCGATGCTTCGTAGCTTCCCATGCAGCGACCAAAACGATCAAATCTTATCCGACAAAACCGTAATGCAACTAGGATTCAAAGGATTGCGAATGAAAGGACTGAAGAAGAACAAGCATTGCACGTGAAAAGCAAGGCAGAACAAAGTTTGCCGGGTCAGCTAGTATATATATATATATATATATACATTAATACATTAATTATAAAATTACATTATTATAAACTTATCGACGAAATATTAGATTGCGTTTCAATTCGAATTGCGTTTCTTAAGACAGTACGTCTTTGAGACCGTTAACAGTTAGAAATAATAATTTTACATATATAACGCAAAGGACTCAAAAGAAAGAAAATGTGGAAGACAGGATAACACGTACCTACACAATCTACCACCGCGCACTGCAGCCGAAGCTTTTGTAAAGAACAATGACAACCGCGCCGAGAATCAAATTCGACTTCTCTATACACTGCGCTTTGCGACCTATACCAAAAAACCGCAACAATTTTTCTCTTGAAATTTTCACCTTCGAATTTACACATGTTGCAGACGCAACTTCTGCAACAAACTAATACAACCCCATAGAGAATTTAATTTGACATCTCTAGAGATGCCAACAGTGCACCAACAAGAAATACAGAGACAACTCCGCTAGTTTTCAGCAACAGTCGTGAAGCGATTAAATGTGCCATACATTGTAAACACTTATAACCTTTTTTGATAATGACTTCGAAATATATACAAGAAGATTGGTGTTGTGGCAAATAACGGGTTGAGTAAAATCCGTTCTTAAATCAACTAATCTCAGTAAGTATCGTTTTAAAGAGTTTACACTATATGTTATTAACGCCTTTGTAATAAAACACTAAACACGTCAATAATAGCTAAATGTAGTCGATAAAGAATAATAAAATGCGATATACCTTATTACAAGCTCAAAATAAAATATAACAGCCGCGAGAAACACGCCTGACCCAACCAACGATCGGCACAAAACTGCGCTGAGAACACAATGCAGTGCAGTCAACAACGGCGCACAACACACGCGATAAACCTGCACGCATTTCGACATAAAACGCGCACTATTTGCAACAAGCAAGGTCGCATCAAAACTTGTTTAGTGGAATTCTGCATGTAAAATCTCATTACAAAGCTTCAAAACAATCGGCGAAAATCACATAGATCATATAGGATTATATATATATATATATATATATAATTATATAATTATATAACAATTCGAAACAATCGCACAAGTTTGAACGCAATTTTAAAGAATCAATTTCGACTTAAAATTTAAGTTTATCGACTAAATTTCATAATGTATTGAATTTTGTAGAACTTCGAAAAAATTTTGGACTTAGTCGAAAAAATGAAGAAATGTGTCGATTTACGGACTTAGTCGAAAAAATCGAGTGTTGCGAAATGTTATCGGGTAATTTCGATGGGTGGCAATGTTGCACCTCATAAAAACTCTCAAGTGCTGCCTAAATTAGAAAGAATCATTAAAATCGCACAAACGGTTCCCAAGATACAAGTAAATTTCCACCGCATGTTTCAAAAATCTAATACAACGCGAATTGTATTAGAACGCGTATGAACCAACAAGAGGTAGGCACGAAACTAACTTCATTGCACCATGCAAAATACTGAGTACGCACACCACCGCTGACAATAAGATAGACTGATATGCTGCACAAAGTCGGCACCAAACTGAATTGCAGATAACAGCATTGTGTTCAAAACTATTCTTGGGTCGACGATTACGCATAAATATAAAAATAAGCAGAATAAGTCTATTTCATAAATTTCCTACTTCCACCTTTAAAGCGCTAATCTTCCGCTAATTTCCACGGTTTTGAAACACAAAAAATAGTACTTTAAATGCGGACGGCCTAGACCGTGACTAAGGTACTTTATCATGCCAAATATATTATAATTGTAGTCGATCAGAAAACTTACTTATTGAAGTGAAAACTTCTTTAGAATCGGTGTGATTTCAAAATTAATGAAACGACACTAAATAACATTTTTCTACTTCCACCTATAGCGCCAGTTTTTCCACGGTTAGACACAAAAAGTGGTACTTCATATACGGACGACCAAGCCGTACATAATATTCATTATACTTCATGCCAATATTATAATAAATAAACCCAGTAATTATCCCACTCCTGATTCTATTTTCGTCTGATTCTCTCGCAGTGCAGTGCTCTGAAGGTTTCACATCTACCGCATGCGAACTACACACATGATTTTTTTAAATATATTATAAACAATTAAAAATTGATGAAATTTGATGCAAAATAAAAACCAATAATAGTTTTGTTATAAAACTTATATATGATCTTTCCATTTAACAAACAAAATTGTCTTATATCGATTTAAATATACATATATGAATTCATTACGACATCTAGACTTAAATATTAAATATAGATATCTTAATAATAAATTGGTATTGGTATAATGAGCAAAATTATACAAAGTTAACTTATAAAAACTGTAATTTTAGTACTTTTAATCCATAGGCGGAGATTACTGTAAGAAGGTATAGGCTGTTAAACACGATAAAATAGAATTTATTTAATTTTGGAAAAATATATTTTACAGTAATTGAAAGAATAGGTATCAAGTTATAGAAAATTAATTAAAAAATTCTCATACTCTTTTAAATTGAAATACCAAACAAGGAAGTTATAATTGAGGTGATATATGAGTTGCCTAACACAAAACATGTGCTACACAAAAATGCCTCACTTCTCCCCAATCCAAAACGTTTTTTAGACTTGTCCAGACTTGTTGCGCGTTTCATGCATTCCTTCGTTGGTATTGTGAGTGCCGGTTGTGTGTTTCGTGTGTTCCAGTGCGATAATTGTTTACTTTTATGTGCAACGTGTTTTAAACATTTTTTTGCGTAATTTATAATCAAATAATTCAAGCAGTGCCGACTATGTTCCAGTAGTCGCCGTAACTATGGTAACCAGAAAGAAACAATATTAGAAATCGGCGAGTGAACACTGAGTGCATTCGTGATAGCAGCAACGGCTAATCTCACTACAAATGAACAAACCGCGAAGAACCAAGAAGAATCCACAGACTTTCTCGTCATCGTTCGGGTGATGCTGCCGCTTCTTTTGTAAACAGGTATGTTACAAGTTGATTGTATGTAAGTACTCGTAAGTTTCGTTGTGAACTTTCTGGCAAATGTAAAGCATGTTAGCGTTAACGGTGGATCGTCGATAATTAGCAATTCCGTCGATATCGATTGCATGTTTGGAACGACATCGTTGGTTAACGATGTTTCCGAACATGTTAATTATTTATACCAGAGATGATTTACCGAAGACAGGCGCGATAACTGAGAGGTATGCCTGCACTGGTGCATTGATATAAACAAATCGTTGAAACACGTGCTGCTGGCCAGCGCCGCGCGTCGTCGAGAATAGTGAGGAAGGTCGCATGGCCAGGCCGTAGGGCTGAGCACGCCAACCTATAACAACAGCGTAGGTATGTGCACGAACACTACAAGACGATAATCTTTTGTGCAATACGACCGTGTGTGTAGTAGCGCTTGCAACTTGCAAGATTACTACCTCAAAACGTAGAGCATAATAAACTGAATGGATAGAAAGTGAAATAAATTGTCATCACTGAAATCATTTTATCTAAATTTATTTTGACATATAACATGATAGTATGCTGCACAACATGTGTTATGTTTGTTTATATTTTTTAACTGAATAAATTTGAATTAAATAATGCAATTTAATGTTTTCCGGCCTACCAGGTATTTATTTTAAAATATTGTAAGACAAATTGTCTGCAAAACTATGTGTTTACAATTTTTGTTGTTTTTTATGCATTAAAATACGTTTTATCCAGAAAACAGTTAAACAAATAGGTAATCATTATTATTAAGTGTTGCCTTACAGTTTTTGCCATGTCTTTCAAACTGCTTTATTCCAAGAAATCAATTGAATTGCGCTGAAAGCGCCGACGCGCCTCTTTGAATTTGTCTCATTGAACAAAATAATTGGCTTGTAGCAATTTCGTTAATGTGCTATACTCAATTACATTCCCAAAACACGTCATTCATGATTGATGTATGGAATTATCATAATTCAAACAAAAGTGTAATGTTTATTTTATAAGGCATTTGCGAATAAACACTGAATACATATTATGAGTTAAGATCATAATTTTATTTTAACGTATAAGTTGTGAACATTTTTATAACATAGTGCAGTACGTGAATAGAAATGATTAATGCACTAATTCAAACGATTACGATAGCTTACGTTATGGATTGACGTGCGTAGTGAATAACTATGTTTACCTATAGAGAAAACAAAAATAATTTTCAAGAGTAAATTTTCCACGCCATTAAAATCATTGAAATCGTGTAAAAACGTGGCATAATTTGGCAATGCGACAAATAAAAACCATATAACAAAACGTCTAGACCTAGACCCATGCGTTGAATGATGTATTTTTAGTCATCGCCCGGTTATATGCTCTTTTGCACCGATTTTATTATTCTCCGTATTCACACACACATATTTCACACACGTGCGTTTACATTCGGTCGAGACGACGCAATCTACACACTTGGCCAACAACACCGAAGCACAATTCGCTTTATTAGCGAAACACACTGAACAACTATAAATGTTAAAAACTAACCTACTAACACAACTTCAGTATGGTTTAATATTTTCGTGCGTACGGTTGAATCGTCGCGAGTATAATTAGAATATTTGAGTGCCCACCCAACGGTATGGAACGTGTCGCGCTAAAGTGAAGATTAAAAACAAAACAAAATTGAAATTGAACTTGCATAATTCAATTGGAAGTCATGGCAATTGCAGTAAGTACACTAGAATGCATTCGTTTTTATTCATGTAATAACAAAGCGCTCAGGTTAATTGAAAGTGATTTGTGGTATTGATTAATGCTGTTTCATCAGATTTGTTGTAAATTTGCGGTTGTTCCGTGAAATACCATCAACACGTCAATTTTTATTTTCTGGAATTTTATTACTTGTTTCATTGATGGAAGAATAGAGGAGAGAAGAAAAGGAGTTGCTGAAAATATTGTTTGTTTATTTACCGCAAGACAAATATTATATAGGCAACCAGTAGTACATCTTAATTATAGAATGGTCACATATGTCTCATGTAGTTCTTAAATTCGAAAAATTTACATGAAAACATGTTTAAAATGTTATCAAAATATGAAATTTATTTGAGTTGTAATATATTCGATGTTACCTACTCGTACATATGTATAAATTACCCAGATTTGTTTATAACTTCCAAATATATCAGGTCATTACGCAATACTTAATTAAACCGTTGACCATGTGTGGGTCTGTCCGAAATTCGCATTGTTCGAGAAATAAAAAGGTTGCGCTTGTCGAGATTACACGTGTGTTAAATTACGGCGAAATTGATGTGCGAGCAATAAAACCGGTCCGCAGCGATATCCACACGCATGTATGACACTTATAATTCATTCATGCCGCGCTCGCCTGATGCCAGTGCGGCGTTGGCTTTAATCACATCGCTCATGTGGAATTTTTGTACCAAAAGAAACAAAAAATGACATATCACATGCACAACATGAGTAAATTACGTTATTTATAATATTTTCACTTGTTGATCTGCATTGTATCAAGTTAAATTGAACGTTAAATGAAAATAACCGAATTAACATGATCAAAGAAAAGACGAGCTGAACGGAAATTCAATATTTACCTCAACTTCACTTAATTCCAAGTTCAATGTGAGGACGCGTTTACATTTAACTGAGTGAGTGGATGATTTACATCTGTGGTTTCGTATGACAGTAACAAATTAAATGTCTAGTTTCACATTCAATGTAGCAATAATTATTTCTGCATACCAAAAGCGAGTCTTCATAAATATTTATGCTACTTGTTATAAACAATTGTACAGTTCAATGACCATAATTGGCGGCCTTCGAGAGT